CGTCCGTGTGCGCGCAGACAGGCCTGCCCACCTTCCTGCCCTGGGCTGAGATGCGAGGTCCTTGGGGTGGGGACGGGACGGGACAGGAGGGCCAGGCCTCCTCCACGCAGCCTCCTGCTCCGCTCCCCGGCACACGCAGCCTGCTGGGGTCATCCCCCAACCCAGTTTGCTGCCTGGAGGGGCAGAGGAGTTGGCCCGGGGGATTCTGGTGGAGCGGCTGGGCTGGGCTGGGCCCCCAGTGTAGGCGGTGGCTGCGGGGGACTGCGTCCTCAGTGGGGTGGGAGGTCCCTTCTCGCAGATGGGGCTGACGTCTCTTCCCCCGCCCTAGGGCAGTAGGGCCTCCTCGCTGAGCACCCATGGGAGCATCCCCCTACGGCGTGACTCTGCCCGTGGGTCCTGCCTCTCCACTGCAGGACAGGAAGGTAGGGCTGGCAGGACCCTGCCCGGGGCCAGGAGGGCTCAGCACGGACACCTGCCCTCACGCTCCTTCTCCCCCAGGTCTGGAGGCATGGGCAGCCCCTTCCCCCTTTGGCCGGGTGCCGGTGAAGAAGGCAATGCCTGGCGCCCACCCCTCTCCCTTCGGCCGGGTGCTGGTGAGGAAACTCCAGTCTGCAGCGTGTGCAGACGCGCCTGGCACCCATGCCTCTCCGTCTGGCCGAGTGCCCGCGGTGCGCATGGCAGGTGGCAGCAGGGGCTCGTGTGTTAGGAGGATCAGGGTTGGGGGGTGTCTGCATGGCTGTTTGCTTGCTGTTCTGGGGGAGGGGGCTGTCCAGGCTCCCCGGGCAGCTGCAAGGCCAGGAGGCAGTGCCAGCTCCCACCCCTTCTCGAGGCCAGGGACTAATGGTGCCTTCTTCCCACCCCAGGGCAGCACGACCTCGCTGCTCGGCACCCACGAGAGCATCCCCCCAAGGGGTCACTCTGCTCGGTTGTCCTGCCTCTCCACCATGGGCCAGGAAGGTAGGGATGGCGGGGCCTAGGCTGGGGGTGGCCTCAATGCCTCTCGCCCCCATGGCGTCCCGATCTCACGCTCCTTCTCCCCCAGGTCTCCCCCGGGTACCCCACACGTCCGACGTCTGCTTCTCCCCATTCAGCCACACACCGGTGCCGCAGCCCCAGTCCACGGTGCGTCCAGCTGGGTGGGCGCAGGAGCTCAGGCTGGGTGGGCAGGGGAGGGGAGGGTCTGCATGGCTTCTTGCCTGCTGCCCTGGGTGGGAAGGATGCCCCTGGGGCCTTCCCAAAACGGAATGGGGGAAAAGCCCTCGGATGCCTGGGTCCTCTCCGCGGGCCACGCAGGGGCAGGGGCCAGAGGCTCTGTGCTCTCCGGGTCTCACCGTGCTCTCTCCACAGCCCAACCCCGCCTGTGCCAGGGAGATGGGGGACAGGCACCAGCTACATGTGGAACGGGGGTGCACATCCGGGGGGGGCTCCTGACTTTTTGGGGGGTTCTCCGGATGGGGGTGCCCTGTCCCCATTTGGGGGGGTGGGGCTTTGACCATCTGTCTGTCTGATGCTGTTTCTGCTCTGAGGGCAGGGCCTGAGCTCTCCCAGGCTCAGCTGTGGGGGGGTGGGAGATGGAGCAGGACTAGGGGTCTCAGCTGATGGCACCCCCTCTGCAGACCCCAGGCAGGTGTGGAGCCGGGCAGCCCCCGCAGCCTTGCAGCCCCGACGTGGGAGGCAACGATCCCCGCGAGACGGCCCAGCCCTGGGTGAGTGCCTGGTGGGGGTGGGTCTGACCAGGGCTGCGAGGTCGCCTGCAGCATCCCGGGGCACCCCCTAGGCCCCCTGCTACCCAGATGGGGGCAGGTGGTGGCTACTGCCCCCACACCCTGACAGCGCCTCCCTGCAGGAGGTTGCTGTGCGGCGGCTCTTCGAGGACGAGGACGAAGACGGCCAGGGCGACCTAGGCGGCTCCCACAGCCAAGCACCAGCCCAGGTGGGCACCCCCCACAGCATCAGCAAGGAGCAGGTAGGACCACCCCCCACCCCCCTCGCCCAGGGCAAACCAGTTCTGTGCATCAGTGCAGGGGGCAGTGGGGGAGGGCTGCCCCCTTGTAGCAGCTGGGGGGTGGCTGGGTGGGGTGGATGGATGGGGAGCTGGAGGGAGAGGTCTGTGCTGGGGTGGGGTGACCTTGCCCCTCACCCCTCATGTCTGACTCCCGTTCCCACCCTCTTGCAGCATATCCCACGGCTCCTGCAGAAGGCAGTGGAGGGGCTGGATGGTGCCACCCCCCTGGACGAGCTCCATGCCCTGCTGGCTGCCTATCCCCCCTCCTGCCCGCCCTTGCTCCCCTGCTGTGCCTCTGTGCCCGGCCTGGTGCTGGGTGACCGTGGCCCAGACCCCGCTGCCAGGGCAGTGCCGCAGGGCGGCACTGGGGGCTTCCGAGGGGCAGGAACCACCTTGACCTTCTCCTCGTTACGCCCGCTCTGCGCCAGCCCCCCCATCCACTCCCTGCGGGCCCCTGGCCCCCCAGGTATGGCACTGCGCCTGTCCACCCAGGCTCTTCCCTCTTGGAGATGCCAAGGACTGGGGATTGCCTGGCTCAGGGGGGCAGGGGCGCTGCTTCTTGCCCCCCGTGGGGGGTAGGAATGGGGGGGCAGGTCTGGCTGCTGACCGTGCCCACTGCCTGCAGCCACAGGGACCATGCTGGCCGTGCGCCCCTCCCGCCTGGCCCTGGTGAAGCAGCGGCTGGACTCCCTGCTTCGCGCCCCCCAGCGCTTCCTGGATGCCTGCCTGGACGATGAGTGCGCCTTCTACACCGGCCGTGCGCCCGGCACCCGGCCCCTGCCCTCCCGCGCCTGCCCCAACCCCGTGGCCCTGCAGCTGGAGGCGCAGGATGCTGCGGTAAGCGGGGCCAGGGCCTGGGGGGGGACCGGGGACTGGCGGTGTGGGGCAGGGGTTGGGAGCCAGGATCCGCCCCAGGTGGAGCTCTGCTGGCACCAGGTGCTGAGTCCCGGTCTGTCCATCTCTCCCTGCAGTACTTCGTGTCCATCAGCCCGCCAGGCCCTAGGGCCCCTTCCTCAGCACCAGCTGCCAGCTTGCCACAGCTGGCCCGGCCCCCTGAGGGTGATATCGGGGCTGGAGGCCCAACCCTTGGACTGCTCGAGGACCGTGCCCCAGCCTCCTCCAGTCTCGCCGTGTGAGCCGAGGAGGCAGGGTCCCTCTTCTGCCTGCGGCTGATGATAGGAAGGGGCTGTGGGTGCCCCTGGCAGCTGCGCCCAGCACCTGCCAGATGTTCCCCAGCTGGATCTTGCACTCCCCTGGGCAGGTCCTGTCTCCTGCACTTGGGGCCTGGCCCAGTTCCGGTTGCCGCCAGCTGGGTTTTAAAGATGCACCGTGGCCACAGCCCAATAAAGTTTTGTTCACGGTTTGCTCACAGCCTGGTCCTCGGGTAATATGGGGGGTTGCTGTTGGGATCAAGGGTTGGCTTTGCTGCTGAAGCACAGCCGAGGCTCCTGCCTGGGGGGCTCTCAGCTCTGAGAGGGGCCTGGCTGCTGCAGGTGCCTGGTTCCCACCCCCAGCCTGGGGCTGTGCCTTCTCCTCCTCCTCCTTCCACAGGCCCTGGGTGAGGGCTGGGCTGTGAGCACCCCACAGTCTGCGACACGGCTCCCATGTTGTCCAGGCCTGTTGAAAGACTTGGGCTCGGTTGGAGGGAGAGCAACAAAGGGGACGTCATGGGGGCACATCTGCTGCAGGCTTGAACCATCTGGAGACCACGTTCACGAGGAAAGCACATAGCTCGCACTTGGGTATCGCAAAGCGCCGCTGATGTTTGAGGCCTCAATGCTGTATCGTGTCACAGGCGGGCATGAGGTCGCTGATGACCACGTCTGTTTTCTGCCTCATTTCAAATCTGTTTTCTAAGATTTAAGTCTTAATAGCAGCCTTCAACTCCCTGCAGGGGGGCTGCAAAGAGGATGGAGCTGGGCTGTTCTCAGTGGTGACAGACAGAATAAGGAGCAATGGGCTCAAGTTGCAGTAAGGAAAGCTGAGGTTGGATATGAGGACAAACTTTCTCACTGGGAGGGTGGTGAAGCACCGGAACAGGTTACCCAGAGAGGTGCTGGAGTCTCCATCCTTGGAGGTTATTAAGAAAAAGCCTTGGCTGGGATGGTCTTTGAGCAGGGGACTGGACTAATGTGACCTGAAGTCCCTTCCGACCCTCATTTGCTGTGATTAAGTAAGTAGGTGCAGGTCAGTGGTCCTACTTACTTATGTAGGAAAGTAACATGGCTTGGTCAGCGTACACTGCTCTCTCCGAAAGCCGCTTTGTTCTTCTAGAAGCTGGGGCGTGAGAGCAGGGAGATGGGCTGGGCACTCTTCGGCTCCTCTGGTAGTTTATTGGGTTTTGGGGCTGCAGTGACGCCTGCTTTTCTCCAGGTTTTTGCAAGTTTGTTACTTCCAGACTTGTGGATTTCTGAAGCCACCTTCTCCTTGTGGTTCTGAGCTTGGTGCTGAAGTTTGGGACTCTTTCATGTAGTCCAGCCGCCTTCCCAGTGTCGGTCACTGTCGTAGCTGTGCTGAACTCATCGGAGAGGGGGGCATTTAAATCAAGGCTGGCGGTGGGGGATGTCTGCTGTTCCTGCGTGAGGTGTCTAATCACTTCTGCGTGTGGCTTTGTGGGGTCTTGTACTTGCTGCTGCTGCAGTATTTTCGTGGTGGGGTTGGACACGGGGCAGTGTCATTTGTAGGCGGTGGAGGATGCACTGTGCCTGGCTACTCAAGTGGGTCTCATTCAGTCCTCCATGCCAGGGAGCCATTTAGACATTGTTCAACATGGTCGCCAGCTGCTCTGTCATTCTTGCACTTGCAGGGTCATTGCATTGCTACGTGGCCTTTCAAGAGCTGTTGGCATGGCTCATCCCAGCGTGGTACATCGTGGCTCCTGTAGCTTCTAGGTGTGCAGAGCTTGGCTATTTCAGTCAGGGAGCTCATAAATGTCTTGTAGCCTTGATCACCATTGGCTTTTGATGGATCCTCTAATTGGTTTGTTCTCTCGCTGGGCAGCCTGCGGCGCTTCTGCCAGTCCGCCTTCCCAAAGGCACCTCTTGCAGCTGGTCTGGGTGGCATGGGCTGAAAAAACAGGTTGTTAAGGCTGACGGGTGAGATGAAGGAAACCTGTCAAGTCCTTTTCTTACTGGTGTACAAATCATTGAAAATGAGGGTTGAAAGGACCTTGGGGTCGTATCTAGTCCAATCCCCTGCTCAAAGCAGGACCAGCCCCAACTACATCATCCCAGCCAAGGCTTTATTTAGCCGGGCCAAGGATGGAGATGCCACCACCTCTCTGGGGAGCCTGTTCCAGTGTTTCACCGTCCTCCTCATGAGAGAGTTTTTTCCTAATATCCAACCTCAACTTCTCTAGCTGCAGCTTGAGCCCATTGCTCCTTGTTCAGTCATCTGCCCCCGCTGAGAACAGCCCAGCTCCATCCTCTTTGCAGCGAGGTGAAGGCTGCTATCAAAGTATTCAAGCCGCCCTTCCAGGAGCTGAGCTCCGTGTCAGTGTGAGGAGTCCACAATGCCCAGAGCAGCAGGTACGTGGCTCCTTCACACCGTGTACACGAGGGTGCCTTCGCTCAGGCTTGCCCAGAGACGTAGTGTCCCCCGTGCTGCTGGACACGGAGCGGTCGTGCTCTAGATGTTGACTGCTCAAGTCGCTTGTGTAGGAGGTCGCCTGGTCGCAAAGAGGCTGGGATGTGATTGACAGTGAGGCAGAGGGGGGCTTGTACACGTCGACGTGGAGATGGCACTGACCTGGACAACGCTTCCTTCTGTTGCACGCGGGGAGGTGGCGCGTCCGCCGGGCGTGTATGGCAGGGTGGGATGAAAGCAGCAAGGCCACGGGTCCTGCTGCCGACAGGAGCTGGACAGCTTCATCGCCTGCAGCTGCTCTGGGCGTGTTTCCAGTACTACGTGTGGCTTCATTTCCCAGCACAGCGTTAGAGTCCGTGAAGGGCGCTGATGGAGATGGGCCTTTTTCTGTGGCCGTGGGGGATAGGATTAGGAGTGACAGCCTCAAGCCGTAGCAGGAGAGACTGTGGCTAGAAACGAGGGACTTTGTGACTCTGGTGCCTGGCCTCGCAGCATAGCCAGACAGGGCTGGGATGGTTGAGTTGGGGCTGATCCTGCCTGGAGCTGGGGATGGATGACCTGTGAGGGCCCTTCCCCTCCCTCCTTTGGGGCCGGAGCGACGGGGGTGCAAGCCCAGCACCTCATCATTCTCAGCCGCCCCCGGGGGAGCCCGGCCCCCACGCCGGCACGGCCCAGCACCCTGTAATTGCAGCTGCCACGCAGTGATTAATGGCAGGGACCTGTTGCAGCAGCAGGGGAGAAATGAAAACAAATGATGGCGCAGTCCCGGGGGGGGGGCCAGGGGAGCTGGCCGTGGCCAGCCCTGAACTCCCCTATCGGCAGCCCCATGTGCAGCCATGGGGGTTGGGATCTGCTCCCGGGGCTGCCATCCCCCTCCAGGCAGCAGGGCCGGTCTGGTGTGGGGCCAGCATTGGGTGCAACGAGTTGGTTGAGTCTCTGCCTGGCTCTAACAGAGCGAAGCAGCCACTGGGCTGTGGAGGGGCTGGAAGGAGGGAGCCCCTGGGCTGGCAGAAGTGGGTCCTGACCAGGGCTCCTCCTTCCCCCACTGCCCTCTAGCACATCGAAGTCAAGGCTGGACAAGGGCGGGGGGGGGGGGGG